ATCTAATTGAAACTGAGTCTAAATCGATTGGAGGGGAAGTTATGACTATTTGATTGAATCCCACATAGATCTGATAGAAAACTCCAAGTGTGTAGCCATCATTATTATCTTTCTGGGTAGCATATTTTTCTATTATTAGCTATTCATTTTTTGATAAAAAATAAATGTAATAATGTACTGTATATGACTGCAGCTGCAATTTTCCTAAGCTATTCTGTACACTACCCCAGAATTTGTATTTCCTTCTTATGGCATGGGCTCATTGTTTTTCCCACTGAGCTACCAGTCAAATTACTGGCAGTGAAGCTTTTCCTAATGCAACATTGAAATTGCTGGGGTGGTTACAGTGAAGGCAGACTCCCATTTAGAAATCAGCGAGAGAAAGGAAATAGCAATTTATTCACAGCAGACACATATACGAATTTGCAAACAAGTAATGATATCCCTGGAGTGTATAGAGTTCACTTGGGGGTATTACTTTCTCAGTAAAAGAAGAATTTCCTTTTTTTCTTTTCTTTTTCTATGCTTTTTTTGCATAACGTAGTTATTCATCTTTCCATATTGGATGTTTCCAACCTTTTTGTTGACATGTGGAATCATAGATTGCTGGGATTGATGTAACTTTTTGTGTTAGCTTCATTTCCTATATGGTGTGACCAGGGGTGGACTGACAACTCATGGAGCCCCCGGGCAATAGGGGATCATGGGTCCCCTGTGTCCTTGCCCAAACTCAAAAAAGCCTATGAAAAAGGTAACAGGGGCATCTCATGGGGCCCCCAATGACCCCGGGCCCTCGGGCAGTGCCCGAGTTTCCAAATGATCAGTCTGCCCTTGGGTGTGACATATATTACTGAGCTTGTTATTCTCGGGGATAAGTAACATGGTACAGTGGTGTATTTAGGTTTGTGCTGCCCTATGTAACACAAAAATTGTGCGCCTCCCCAATGAGAGAGCGAGAGAGTTCAATGAGTGTGTGTGTGTATATGATTCTCTCTCTCTCTCTTCCCTCTCTCTTTCTCTCTTCACTCTCTTTCTTCCCTCTCTCTCCTCCCTCTCTTTCTCTCTTCCCTCTCTTTCTCTTCCCTCTCTCCCTCTCTCTCCTCCCTCTCTCTTTCTCTCTTCCCTCTCTCTCTTTCTCCCTCTCTTTCTCTTCTCTCTCTTCCCTATTTCTCTCTCTTTCTTCCCTCTCTCTCTCTCTCTCACATTCTCTCTCTCTCTCCTCTCTCTCTTCCCTCTCTCCCTCCCCTCTCTCTTCACTCTATCTCTTTCTTCTTTTCCCTCTCTCCCTTCCCCCTCTCTCTTCGCTCTCTCTCTTCCCGCTCCCCCCCTCTCTCTCTCTTCCCTCTCTCCCCTCTCTCCCTTCCCTCTCTCTTCTCTCTCCCTCTCTCTTCTCTTTCTATCTCTCTCTTCCCTCTCGCTCCCCCCCCTCTCTTTCCTCTCTCTTCTCTCGCTCTTCCCTCTCTCTCTTTCCTCTCTCTCTCTTTCCCCTCTCCCTTCCCTCTCTCTTCTCTCTCTCTTCCCTCTCTCTTCCCCTCTCTCTTTCCTCTCTCTCTTCTCTCGCTCTTCCCTCTCTCCCTTCCGTCTCTCTTCTTTCTCTCTCTTCCCTCTCTCTTCTCTCCAGCACTTGATACACGATCACTGATAGATCTATGGGACTGTATACACACACACTATGATCCTCCCCCCACCTCCTCTAAGGGCTGCTGATCTCTGGGCAGCAGGAAATGGGGGCAGGTGGTCGTAATCATACTGTGTGGGTACAGTCACATATGTTCTATCAGTGATCCTGTCTCATGTGCTGGATGGGTGACAGGAGGGAGAGCCCAGAGAACACAACACAGCTCAACTCCTCCTGGCTCTTTCCTCTCTGCCACTTCTCCTCTCCCTGCTCCAAGCTTTCCCCTGGTCCCAGCTCTGAGCGCATGCAGGGGAAGGAGCTCAGTGGAGAGCGGCCACTCAGGAACACCAGGGCACCCTCTCAATTTGGCCAGGTCTGTCTCTCCCTCCAGCAGCAGAAAGTCGACAGGAGGGAGAGGTGGGAGAAACTGGCTTTCAGCTGCTGGAGGGAGAGATACACAGTGCATCATTCTGCAACTGCTCTCTCCCACCACCACACCGATTCTCCTGCTGTCCGGGCCACCTACAGGAGTACCAATGGTACCGCTCAGATGGCAGCCCTACATGGTTCTGTCCGCTCTTGCTCACCAGGTCCCTTTTTCTGGGGGGGGTGGGGACGGTGGCGCCCCCCTAAAAATTGCCACCGTAGCCAAACACCTTGTTTGCCTCATGGTAGATATGTCCCTGCCATGGTATACTGTATATTCTCATTGGTGTTGCAGCATATTTTCTTGGGACACGTCTTTTAAAAGTGTCTAAACACAAGAATAAAACTTATTTTGCAGCTTACCGGTCCCTAGATGTGGTGTTTGTATTAGTTTTTCTCAGGATTTTTTTCCCTTTATTTTCACCTGACAATCCTACACCAATAACACACTTCTTGACCTAGAGTGACAATGCTCACTTACTGTACTGTATATGTGGAGTTGCAGCATTGGCAGCCTAGAACACAAGTGAGCCAGGACTACAAAACACCTCCCCCTCTCCATAACATTTTCATGCAAATAACCTTGTTATGAAAACATACAATCATTTAAAAATAAAATACATTTTGGAAAATGGTCTTCAGAATAACTTAGACCTCATACACATTGCCTTACTAAATTATTCCTTTGTGCCCTGGATCTTTCTGCATGGTGCTGGCAGAAAAATCCAGCTTAAAAAATGCTCACTTTGGCTCAAAATTATAAGTGTTTATGTGTGTATGGCGTGTAAGAGCAGATGTGCATAAACGTATTCTAATAGCTAGAATACTAATTTATTCTAGACACTAGAATGCATTTATATGCATCTATGTGTATTTACATGCGTTTATATGTAAAAAGCACAAAAATGCTTCTCAGGATCGCAAGTTTAGGGCATTTTTTTAAGCCTCTGAATGAAAATACATGTTTAAATGCCTGCATGTGCATGGGCACATTAGCAACATGCAGCTGTGTTCAGAGGCATAAAAAATGTCTCTAAAAGTTGTGTGCATGAGGCCTTAAAGTGCTTGTAAAGGCTGAAGGATTTTTACCTTCATGCATTCTATGTATGAAGGTAAAAAAACCTGTGTGCAGCAGTACTCCTAGCCCCCTCAATACTTACCTGAGTCTCATTGTGATCTAGCGATGTGAACGACAGCCTCGGTTGTCCCGGGTCTCTGCCTCCTCATTGGCTGAGACAGCAAGCAGAAGCTATTGGCTTCCACTGCAGTCAATCACAGCCAGTCAGCCAAAGAGGAGAGAGGGGGTGGGGCCAAGCCAAGGCCCTGAGTGTAAATGGACATATGGAGCAGCGGGTGCCCCCATAACAAGCTGCTTGTTGTTGGGGCACTCGTCAGGAGAGAAGGGCCAGGAGAGCCTGCGGGGGACCCGAGAAGAGGAAGATCCAGGCTGCTCTGTGCAAAAGCACTGCACACAGCAGGTAAGTATAGCATGTTTGTTATTTCCCCCAAAAAAATTAACCTTTAGAATCGCTTTAAGATTGCCTATTAACCTACAAACCAGGCCATGTAAATTGATTTTTTTTTTTTTAAATTAAACATAAGAAAGACTGAAACAAAATAAAAAAAACACTAGCCAAGGAAGAATGAGTGAGGAGAGAATTTAAACAAGGTTAAATAGTCTCTGAACCCAAAAAACGAAATGTGATATATTGTAGATCACCAGTCATTATATGTGGTGGCTGCATTAGTCTTCTTTTTCAGGCCATTTATTTTTGGTGGTGATCCTGCTAGTAACACACTTCTTGTCTTAGAGTGTTCACTTGTGGAGTAGCAGCACTGTCACCCTAGTACAGTACGTGTCTTTATAACATAGTTCTAAGTGTTCTGAAGTTTACAGTGGTGATGTGAGCAGGGATGGTAACACTCCGTAAAGTGGACCTTCACCCCCTTTTCCCTCTTACATAATTGCCTTTTTTTAAAGAAAGTAAATACTTTTTTTCCCTTCCTTTTTAATTTTGCATCTTTAAAGAATATGTAAAGCCAACATTTCATATTCCTGACATGTGCCTGCTGTACCTTGTACTTGTATGAAAAAGCATCCTGTTCTCAGATCAGTGGACTGCTGTTTCTCCTTCCCTAGCTGCTATGCAGCTGAGAACAGAGGGAATGTCATAACTTTTAAAAAATGGGAATAAAAAGTCGATATAATGTTTTTTATATCTATACACAAATGTTATACCTTTCATTTCTATTTTAAACTGAATGGGTTGTTTTATAAGGGTAGGGTTTACAATCCCTGATATACCCAGATAGGCCTCAATTCAGGGCATGTGTATGATTCCACTAACTGCCTCCTGGGATATCTACCACATGCATCCCAGAAGTCAGTTTACAGGATCTCGTGCATGCTTAGAATTGTCGTGGTGTCTCTGCCAGTCTACTGGCAGAGCCCGGGGATTAACTGCGCATGCCATGGGGCTTTGCCAGACCATATAGACTTGACAAAGAACCCCTGTGGCATTTCTGGCCTGGAGAAGAGCAGTGTAGGGAGAACTTTGCCTGCAAGCAAGAAAACAAGACAATGCTGGACTTTATGGACTAGTAAGTATTTTTATTATTTTTATATAGGGACAAGTGTTAGGAAAAATGTGATTTGGATAGGTAGAGTGGCGTTCTTGTTTAGGATGACACTGCAGAGTGCACATGAACTTACCAGCTTACTGGATTTCTGGCAGGATCAATAGGAGTGTTTTGTAATTTTTAAACAGATATAAAAAATGCTTTTAATAACATATGTAACATACCCAAAAAGGAAGAAATAAGAGACATTCATTATTAATGTTTATACAAACCTAATGTTGTGGGTTTGCCTCACATGAGCATGATAGAGCTGTGGGCAAATAACACATCTCAGCTGATATTAACATATTGTTTTTTATTTTATTTTTTCATTTAGTCTAAAAGCAGCCAGCTTTTTGTAAACCTGAAGAGCCTGGATCCAGGAAAGAGATCACACACTATAGATTACACGGGTACTCTGCCAGCAGACTGGAAACAAGGAGGATATCTCAATGAGCATGGTAAGGGGGATATGCTATAAAATTCAGTAAAAAGGACAGTGGTGTTTCCCATAGCAACATAATCAATTTTAGATTAATGAATTTTCAAGAAATTAATTGAAATCTTTAATTAAAATGTATCGTTAGAACTTGTTTGGTCATTATGAGTAACATCATAAAGAACATTAAAAAAAACTTGTCCATCCTCTCTGAATACAAATTAAAGATGATCCAATACCAAAGGATCTACAGAACCCAGTGCGTGTTTATTGGTATAAAATATTTGAAAGCAGTCATCTCAGCAGCACCTTGGCAAAATGCGTTTACTTATAAGGTCAAAGTGGGAATGTTACTGATTAAAGTAGAAAAATAACCAAAAGAGCTTCCTGGTGCCAAATCTTATTAATACAGAAGAAAAAAAAGCCGGAATAATAAATACGGCACAAATATTGGATTCTTTGGGTGCAGAAAGAGACCACATGATAAAATACATACAACCATTTATTGACATAAAAGAGTCATATATTCTTTATAGGACCCATAATACAAACATGCCCCTCAAAAGAGGGGACGAAAGCAGGGGTAATCATAATTGTGAGCACAATGCCTCCCTCACGCATATATATATATATATATATATATATATATATATATACATATCACTAGGCACATAGTTACAGTAATTGCAATATGCATTCATAAAAAAACGGCAAACGCGTTTCGTCTGTGCATTTGGCTTCTTCAGGATTGTAGCTTGAATGTCTGGGTGAATAGTAAATATACTACCAAACACACAAATGTACATATAATAAACAAGATACATGTATATCAAATCGAGCTGAGGGGCATGCTTGTATTATGGGTCCTATAAAGAATATATGACTCTTTTATGTCAATAAATGGTTATTATTATTATAATACAGGATTTATATAGCACCAACAGTAATATAAAGAGGGGGTGCAGTGCTGGTAAAATTCACAGAAATGATAAATAAAAGTATAAAAAACAATAAGTTCATATATAAATATGCAAAATATAGTGACACTGCAAATATGTGTGCCACTAAATGTGTGGCTAATATCGTGAAAGAGGAGTACTCAATCAACTTAAAGGTAAGTCCAAGGTGACAATGTGAGTGAGATCTCACACTCAGGATCACCGCTCTGCAAGTATAGACAGCTCCGACAGGAGCTCAAAGGAACAGAGGAGGCCAATAGTGTAGTATGTCAAGGATGTTTATTCCAGAAGTCAGCCAAGTGAGCGTAATAAAAGTAATGAAGCAACACTGACAGAGTCAAGACGGCCGCTGGGACCCCTTGTGGTGCCGGCGGTGTGGCGTCAACCTGCTGTAGCTCTACGTTGATGCGTTTTGAGCGGTCATCCCTGAGTGTGAACCCTGAGTGTGAACCATCAGGCAGTGAATGATACATGACCAGATCTGACCAGACCTATGTGAGGACATCTGATGTTTTTTGATATACAACACAAATGCGCATAAAGATTGCGTATCTGGTGAGTGCGTAATCTATACCCAATTTTCTCACCTTTTCCACAGTTTTAGTCATTGGACGTCTGAAGATCATCTGAGATCTCATTCACATTGTCACCTTGGACTTACCTTTAAGTTGATTGAGTACACCTCTTTCACGATATTAGCCTCACATTTAGTGGCACACATATTTGCACAGTGTCACTATATTATGCATATTTATATATGAACTTATTGTTTTTATACTTTTATTTATAATTTCTGTGAATTTTACCAGCGCTGCACCCCCTCTTTATATTACTGTCTCCTTGAAGGTCTTATATGGTGCCTTTGGTGCATAGTCGCTGTTATATTACGTTATTTCCAGCACTCACTTATTCTACTTCTATATAGCGCCAACAGTTTGCTCAGTGCTTTACATTATAACAGGAGACGATACAGCAACAAAACAGTTGAATACAAGAGGGTTAGGAGAGCCCTGCTCCTTGGAGCTTACAATCTAAGATATGTATTTTATCGTGTGGTCTCTTACTGTGCACAAAAAATCCAATATTTTTGCCGTACTTATTAGTCCGGCTTTTTTTTTCTGATTAAAGTAGAAATTCAGGCAAAACACTGAATACCTAGTTGAAATACATAAAGTTTTACTATTTTACCTTGTAGAGGATTTGACAATTTTTCAGCTTGTTTTGTGAGACTCATACAGCTCTGCCACAAAATAAGTTTGAGGCACAGGAAATCCAAAATATAGGATGTTTCCAGAACAGCCCACGTCCATTACTTTATGATCGTTTTACTGGCTAACGCATACTGTATTACACTCACTGGAAAATGAGAGCCGATGCTAATGACTCATGTTTTCTTTTGCTCAGGTCTACTGAAAAGCTCTGCATATAGCATAAGCAGCTGTTCCCTGAGCAGCACTGAAAACCCATATGCCACCATCAAGGATCCGCCAGCTCTTCTGCCTAAGCACACAGAGTGTGGCTATGTGGAGATGAAGTCACCAGCACGGAGGGACTCTGCTTATGCAGAGATAAGTAATGGTAGCTTGGCCAATAAAAATGTGTATGAAGTTGGTAAGTCTTACTTTGTTTTTTTTTATCATGTTATTTTCCTTTAATAAATAGCAGAACATTTATTAAATCATGTCAAAGAAAAAACCATATCAGCCAGCCAGAATGTTTAGATGTTGCTATCCTGCACACTGGCAATATAAAAACTATAAAGCCTACTAATGTCTATGGAGTGGATTTAGTAATGGCAAATATGCTGCTCACTTTGCAAGGCATTTTTTCCTTAGCCTAGTGAATGTGAAGAGGCTGTGTAGAAATCCATCATCCAATCATGTGCAATGCAAAAATTCAGTTTTTTTGTTTTTTTTTTTAATTGTCCTTACACATGATTCCATGCCAAGTGAATTTTCACCACATTCACTAACCTAAGGGAGTTCCCTTGCAAAGTTCAAATTTCCTTGTATTGTAAATGGACTATTTTAGTAAATCAGCATCTATGTATCAGTCTGTTATTGCCCTAAACAGCAACAAAAAAATAAAAAAACAATCACGGTTGTTAAAATGTGCCTAATTACTATTGTGTGCACCTGGATAAATTGTTGCAAGGACCATTTCCATAAGGTTCCCCACCCTTCTCTGTTACCCTAAATTAGAATCATTGTGCCACCACAGCATGCCAGTTTAGTGGGGAGGCTGGCCCCAAAGACCATTGTGAGGTTGGTTGTGGTTGCACTTCCAACTGTTCACTGATGCTTATGGTCAGACTAATAGTTGAACTGCATATAGAAGGTTTTGTTTTGCCAGTAATATGTATTTGCATGAGATACTTCCACCTGCCAGATTCTGAATATATTTTTTATGGCTCCAAACCTTCCTACAACAAGGATCTAAGAGAGTAGAAAACCCTTCCAGTCTTTGTGTATGTACATGTACACTGTCAGCAAAGGAGACCTTCTCCGTCAGTTGTCAGACACTGTGTGGGGCACTGCTGTCCTCTGAGGCTGGGGAACCTCAAATGGTCCAGGGTAGGAGCTGCAACTGTTTAGAGGAAACCTGTCATGAGAGACACATGGAAACCAACAAATGCAGCCCTCTATTTCTCTAAATGCTAGCTGCCATGCTGATGGTCTTGTTTCAATATTTGCGTCACTGACCTGGTGCAAGTATGCAGATAAGGACTTCTGACTTAAATCTCATACCCCTGAATGATGGTGCCTTTATCAGCAAGCTAATGCAGACCTGAAAGTAAAGCTGTCATTGAAGAAATTCTGGGCTGCCATTGCTGACCAATTGAAAATGCTAGCTGGTGGACTATGTTGACCCTCTGGCTAATACTTTGAGTCAATGACCTTGAACAAGCAATAAGGAATACTTTTTCTGATTCTACATATTTGTTTCCAGTCATTCCCCCCTTCCTGACCACGCCATTTTTTGCGTTACGGCGCTGCGTTACTTTGACAATTGTGCAGTCATGCAATGCTGCACCCAAATGAAAGTTATGTCCTTTTTTTCCCACAAATAGAGCTTTCTTTCCGTGGTATTTGATCCCTGTGCGGTTTTTATTTTTTGCGCTATAAAAAAAATACCGACAGTTTTGAAAATAAAAACAATATTTTGACTCTTTGCCTTTAAACATATCCAGTAAAAAAATTTAAAAAATCAAATTTTGTCATAAATTTAGGCCAAAATGTATTCTGCCATGTTTTTGCTAAAAAATAATCCCAGTGGAATGTTTGTAACCCTCGTAAATTTGTATTGCTGTCTGTGTACCTGCTGGGGAGATATGCCCTCTCTATTCATCCTGGTGATCTTTTTCATGGGGACTAATTGTGAGGAAAATCAACATATTTGAAAGAGGACTTTCCCTCACTTTGGACAGAGGATTTACCTTTCTTTGAATAGATTTACTGTTACTTCCCATTGAATCTACAGCAAGGGAAGTTTTTTATACCTAATGCATTCTATACATTGAGGTAAAAAACACTCCACTACCTATTGCATCCCCCCCCCCCCCACATCTAAACGCTTACCTGGCTCCTCTTAATGATCTAGCACTGACTGAACTGCAACACTGCTCCTCTCACTTCTTCACACAGGCAGGAGTGGGAGCCACAGGCAAACTCCTGTGAGGAAGGAATGGGGGCAGAGCTTACTAAAGCTGCGTGTGTCTATGGATGCACATAGCCTGTCTCTGGGGTGCACCCACATATTATTTGCTACTAAGGGGTCACTCGGAAGAAGAAGCGGAGAGGCCACTGGCAAGGGACTCCAGAATAGGAGGTTAGGGATCGTTCTGTGCAATATCATTGCACAAAGTAGGTAAGTAATGTATAACATCTTTTTTAATTTAAATGAAAAAAATAGCATTTAGTATCAGTTTAATGGGTAATCTCGCCAGTGGCACTCACATGACATGCATTTGCAAATCCAATATCCGAAACAAAAAAGTAAGATAGACTTTATAAAGAATCATATTTTGTAAGTGTTGCGAATGCCAGACAATATTTTAGGTAGTTATATTATTATTACTTTTGTTACAGCATATTAATTTACAAGGACTCCCACAATGGTAAGACATATTCAGATATCACTAGAGTGTGTCTATGTTTCCAGAGTGCTATTTTTCCAGACTGATGTCTCAGTATGTTCTTGTTTGTGCCTGTGGACAAGAGTTTAAGAACTTGGTTTTACAAACTGATCTTTGATCTGAATGCTGATGCTGCTTATAAGGAACAATGTCTGGTTTAGGCTGACTGATGGACTTGAATGAACTGGCATATGAGCAGCATAAAGCTGGCCAAACACTAGTAGAATTTTGATTAGAATTGTTTGTTTTAAGAACATTTGTTGGATTTTCTAATCATTAGTGGGGTCAAATTGATTGTTTTCTACCACAGTGATGAGAAAATAAGAAGGCACATGATGTTACATTTTTCTAGAACAAACAAATTTCTAACATTGCATGTGGTTCTTGATCCAAAATAAAATGCTAAAAGCAAATGAGATTTTACAGTACTATTGGACATCATTTGTCAAGTCATCTAATGTACAGAGACATTTTGTAGGAATGTTCGTACGAACCTTCTTTAGAAAATCTAGTAGTGTATGGCCAGCTTAAGAAAGCTACAATAACATATGTTTCAGAAGCACGTTGGACCTTGACTCCAGGCAAAATAGTTTTGAATCCAACTGGAGAGACTTAAGCTAGCCATAGATGAGACATGGTGTTCTGACAGCGGGACTTGCCCCGGTCAGGATACAGCGATCAGTGACTGCAGCTGCTGATCAGGAAAAATGGCCCCTTTGACAGAAGTCAAACAAATGATGTTAAACACTTGTCGAGCAAGGATGGCCATGCACTGATCTAAAATCAGTCACTTCCTGCCAAACAGGCTGAATTTCAGTGTTAGTCCAGCTTTATCCATTTGTTGTGCTGCAAAGGAGAGCAGTGAGATTGATTACGAGACACATACAATATTCAATTGCAGCTTTCTTCAAAAATTCTTCCCTCTGCTGCTCATAAGTGGTACTGCACCAAAATAAAATGTGCCTCTGGCCACCTTTTGGAGTAGAAACTATTCACTTTACAACATATATGTTCATTGATGTTAGAGAAGAAGGTGAACTCATGTTCACTTTAATCATCCAATTATTTGCTAAATTTCCCTTGCACTTGATTGGGTATTCAAAATAAACACAGCTGTATCTAATTGGCTGAGCTGAGTTGAATTTTCACTTTGCTAAATGAACAGTCCTGTATTTCTTCAGTAATCAGAGTTCCATTAGGTGTATGTAGGTTTTTAACAGGAAAACTGTTATACCTGCAGCAACATATCTGTAGAGTCGCATGCAGGCTGGGCTTTTAGCGTTTGTGGATGATGATCTGGTGTTTAGGTGTGGGTCAGGGGCGAACTGACCATTTGGAAACTCGGGCACTGCCCGAGGGCCCGGGGTCAGTAGGGGGCCCCATGAGATGCCCCTGCTACCTTTTTCATAGGCTTTTTTGAGTTTGAGCAAGGACTCAGGGGTCCCATGATCCCCTATTGCTCGGGGGCCCCATGAGTTGTCAGTCTGCCCCTGGTACGGGTGCATAATATAGTCATTGTATCTTGAGCCTGTCTGAAGTTGACTGCTGCCACTGGACAGTGCCCGGAATGGTATTTACATTAAGTGCGGTATGCACCTGGGCATGAATGCTCAGAACTCATTAGTCTTGCGTTTGTCGCTGGGCACATACTGCACTTAACATAAGTACCGCTCAGTGCATTCTCCAGCCATGGCAGCTGTTAGCTTCACATAGAGTTTGACAGGCTGCTGACAGTGGGGCTGGACAGCAGGGCTGCTGTTAGAAACCATGGGGCCCCTTACTGCGAACCTGACAGCCCCCTCCAAACCACAGGGAGACATACAGCCAACCGAACATAGCCCCCCTCCCCACAAAAAATAACACAGTTTATTGTGCTTCAGTTATGAATGAACACAGTGAGTGACGATCACTCATTGTGTTCATTCAGAAGTGGAAGGGGCTGGTAAATTTCTGGAACCGATCCCCTGTATGTTTCTCTCTGCAGCAGCTGAAAGCCAGCTGGGGGGAGGGGGGAGAGAGAGGAAAAGAACCCAGCTTTCAGCTGCTGCAGGGAGAGCCATACAGGGGATTGGTTCCAGTAGTTTCCCCATTCACCCTTCCTGCCCACATCCATTTCACCCAGCTGCCTGGGCCCCCCTTCTGGCCTGGGTCCCATACAGGAGGACTGGTGGTACCCCCTTGTCCACGGCCCTGCTGAACTATGTGCCTGTACCTTCCACCAGCACCTAATAACTGGAGCCTCATGCACCATTGCTAAACATCCAGTGTGCATTAGTCCTTATTAGTGTTTGCAATACTGTTGCAATCCGGGTTTTGCTGGCACACTGCTTGCAAATACTGTTGCAAAGCCTTTGCTAAATGATGGACAAGTTTGTTTGCATTAGCTGTGCTCCCGATTCTGTCAGTAATTTACAAACTTCCCACTGCATCTGCAGCAGTTGAAGGCCAATTTTAGTGTGATTTTCATTTTCTGCTCCTTCATCTTTCCCCATTCAGGGGTCTCCAAACTATGGCCCTCCATACTTCAACAGCTGGGGGGCCATAGTTTGGAGACCCCTCTAGAAGATCATACTTAGCTGTCACTAGCCAGATTATCGTTTTGTCAGCCAGCTTCACAGCCCCTCTCCTGGAGTCTACAGATCTGTCCAGTGAATTATTTCACCTATGTATGCATGCCATGGCCTCAATCTCAATGGAAAGCCTGTTTGGAGTGGAAACCTCATTCATGTCAAAGTTTTTAACATGTAAACATGTATGCATATTAACAATATTAACATGGTATTTGTTTAATGCCTGTACCATGTGTGTTACTGAAACAGAACAACATACAGAATATTATGTATAATATACATCTGTACTAGGGTCACATTACAAGTCAATTGCTGGTTGGTTGTTGAATGTAATGCAAGCTGTATACCTCATTTGATGTTTGTGAGTGAACACTACAGGTCAAGTAAACACTGTCATGTTCTAGGACAAGGTGACAATGAGGTTGATTTACTAATGGCAAATAGGCTGTTCGCTTTGTAAAGAAAGTTGCACTTTGCAAGGGAATTTTCCCCTGAACTTAATGAATGATTTCGCTTTGCAAAAAATGCCCAATTACGTATAATTAAAAATGAAAAAAAAGCAATTTTGCTTGCATGTGATTGGATGATGGAAGAAGTCAGCAGAGCTTCACCTCATTTACTAAGCTCTGGGGAAAATTGTCCTGCAAAGAGACAGTGAACAGCCTGTTTGCCTTTAGTAAATCAACCCCAGTCTGTCTAGAAAGGTCTCAATTCACTTGTATTCACCCTACCAGCACTCTCCTGCTACTCTTTCCTTCTCACTATCTGTCCACAATGCTTGGCATGTCTCCCCTGTGCAAGGCCATGATGTTTCCAATCCCCCAGGTTACCAAGCCAATTCAGTGCTGCCTGCAGAGAAGGGAAGAGTGGTAAGGGATCGCTGACAAGGCAAGTATAAGAGGGTCAGAAGGACCCTGTCACTTTTCCTTCAGTGATGTTATTTCATGTAAATTTTAGTAGCCATATATAATTTGTTCAGTTGTTAAAAATCATCTGAGTCTGCCTAAACCAGTTCCCACAGGAAACTATTACACCATTACACATTTTCACAGCTCTTACAGTAAAGAAACCTTTCTGCATGTGGAGGATATAGTTGTTTGGAATGCCCTTATGTCTTCTGTGATGACTGAGCAATGTTTTACTGAATTTTATATATGGGCCGTTATACTATATGCATTTGTCATGGAAAACCTACCTTTAAACTGGTAAAGCTTTTTCATGGTCAGTGTTTTATAAACATTACATGTACATTAGCTGCATATTTTTAGTAATGGCAGTACTGCATTTTTTGTCTTACAACAGAACCTACAGGCAATACAGTCCAAGGGATCTTCAACAACAACTGTAAAGCCAGCCAAGATCTCTATGACCTTCCAAAGAACAGCCACATTCCCTGCCACTATGACCTTCTCCCTGTTCGGGACAGCACATTATCTACTAAGCAAGACACAAGCAGTGAATGACAGCAACAATCAGTCAAATTTGAGCTGCTGATTCTTCGGACTGATGCCCTGTGTGACTACTGTCATTTGCATGAAGTGTGAACATGGCCAAGTAATAGACAAAGACTTGATGATAAGGGGACAGTATAGAGACTGTTGTTCCTTCTGCTGAGATACAAGGGCTGTGGATGGAACTCTTCTTCTCATTCTATGCTCTATGACATTTGTAAGGATATTTCCAGTTAGTGAAACATTGTATATACCACTAACAGATTTTTTACAGATGGAAGCTACAGATGCATCATTCCTTGTCCTCTCAATGCTCAGCCTATACTTCATTTTCAGAGATTTGCACTGGCCCACTTGTGTCCTACAGCGGGTAAACGAGTCAGTGAGCTTTTCTAAAAGAGTGTGGTAAAAGTGTTAACTGGAAACTGGAAAATCACAATGTAAAACACTACTACTTGTGTGAATGTGGATGTGTGCGTCTGTGTATATAAATACACATCTGAAATGATTTATTCAATTAATGTAGCCATTGTAGTCGTCATGAGATCTTATTTTCCTTACTCTGTTGTAAAAGTGTATTGATGCATTATTTCAATAAGGTGGATTTTTGGGTACACGGAAGGACTAATCTCAAATTCCATATTATAACTGACCATTTAGACAATATAGAATAACCCATCATTTAGTTATCTAGGCATACTGACATGACCGTTAAAATAGACAACCTACTTCTGTATGTCAGGGGGTCCAAGGCATATACCAACAGAAGTAGCTGGTTTTATAAACTCTATAATGGTCACAATGCGTAGAAATAGATTTTAGGGGGATTATATCACAGATGTCAACAACTTAAATTTTAGTTATTCACATTTAATTTCCCAGTAGCTTACATCCACCCTGAGGAATTTAAAAAGTGATGGATGTACATAGGTTGTAGACCTCCATACGAGGCTCCAACTATAATGGTATTCATTTTTTTTTTTTTTTTGCGGTGGGCTTTTCTATTTCGAGCACAAAGTCAGGTGCCTGCTTATGGAGGCAAATGTAGAGAAAAGCATGGCAGTCAAAGACATCTGGGACTCAAGTAAATGGTCATTTTGCAAGTTGGAGTGCTGGCTTTCCTACGTGTTTGGATTTGTGTAGTGTCACTGCTTAGCTAAGCACCCACCCCTGACAAGGGTTACACAAGGTCAGTGTGGTGTGGTTTAATGTATTACTGTTTATGGGGCAAACTTTTTTATATAAAGACACTGTCCTATGGGTGCCACAATATCGTGCATGTATTCTACATATTGAGGCATTCTTTGGCCTATTTCAGTGTTCCACCTGCCAGTGAGTTGGAATCGAATATCAGTGGGGCCCAAAGATTACTGTATTGTGTGGTCATTAGTTCTGCGTAGACTATTAGGCTATCTTCTTGTAAATACAAGCTCTACTAAAAATAACTGCTGCATATATTACAATGTATGTAGACAAATGTATTTATTGTTATTTTTGGATACAGTGGGGAAGACAAAACAGAAAATTTCCAAAGTGCGGGGAATTCCCCTCCTAGACATTTGCCATTGGAATATTTACCCTAACCTCTTGTCTGGTACAGATAAAGGGGGTTTTTCTCCCCCTCATTACCTACTCCAATGCTCACATCAAGCACATCTCCCAGCCATGCCTGGAACTCTACCCCAATCTCTCTGGCTATCTTCTACACTATCCACCTTTCAGGCAGGGGGAATTCTTCCCTTAGATATTAATGTAAAACACTCCTGCACTCAAGTGTGTTGCTCAAAGTCAATTGACTCCATCTGTTTCTGAAACTCTTTAATGGTCACCATGCTTTGTTACCCTCTTAGGACCTGGGTGATCCAAATAGACTGCTCACTGTAAAAACCAGCCTAGTGCATTACCTTCATACATCATTTATTGATAAAACAAAAGCCAGTATTAAACTCATAAACCAACATGTAAACAAGCTCCCCAATATAATCCAGAAATATGTACACCAGAACTTTTGTACCAGCTTCTTATCATGGGAAGAAACCACACAGGTCTACAAAGTCTAACACCTTTCAAGGGGAGTTCCATCTTCCTCAGAGTTTTTTGGCTCTGAAGAAGATGGGATTCCCCTGAAAAATGTTAGCTATTGTAGGCCTGCGTGGTTTCTTCCCATCATAAGAAGTTGGTGTAGCGGTTCTGGTGTATTTGTTTCTGGATTATGAGCTTGTTTACATATTGGATTGAGTATAATACTTGCTTTTATGTGATCAATAAATGGTGTATGAAGGTAATGTGCCAGACTGGTGCACTCTTTCTTTTGTTTTTACAGTCTATTGGGACTACCCCAGTCCTAAGAGGGTAGCAAAGTGAGGTGGCCATTTAAGAGTTTAGAATGGCACAGAAACAGATGGAGTCAATTGACTTTGAGCACCACACTTGAGCACAGGACAGTGTTTTTACATTAATATCTAATGGAGGAATCCCCCACCTTGAAATTGCAGTCGCTGATCAAGGAATGTTTCCCAGCATGTCCCTTCAACAGAAGTCAATCAAATTATCAACGTCTGTCGAGCAGAAGCGGCAACACAATGATTGAAATTTAGTAATCAAAAATCAGTGTATGGCCAGCTTTAGATGACCCCTAAAAATGTCTTTCTTCGAAGCAGCCTATTCCACCTCTACCTAACTACTGAACGTTTACATTCTCCATCAGCTCATCCCTCACAATTAACACTTTTTTTTAACATTTTTCCCTCCTTTAGGTTGTAAGCTGTCACAAGCAGGGCCCTCCAAATTGTATTGTAACTGTACCGTTTCCCTTTATTTTGTAAAGCACTGTGCAAACTGTTGGCACTATATAACTCCTGTTTTATATTAATAATAACGGACACAAAATGCAATAAAATCTTAACAGAGAATCTAACCCTTCTCCACTGTATCCAAAGCTAAGAAACCTTTTACACTTTAAGGTATATGGCAGCTCCAAATTTTTGCTACTAAATCTAATTCTGGAAGATTATATTGTATGCCACTGAATACTTGCAAGATTCTCATTAATTAAACAAATATAACCCCACATTTATCACAAGTTGGTAACAAGTGTAACTGTTTACCAATAGTATTATTGCAGCAAACTTCACATGGTACATCCGTGGTAGGGGAGGGATTATACTCACATTCAGAATGCCAAAACTGCATAGGTTTGAATGATCTCTTGTACTCTGATGCAAGGTGCATATCAGCAATTGCTTCTGCTTGTTTTCTCATTATTTCTAGAGTGTCTGTGTCAGGATATTGCTGAATGCTGTAAATTAGCAGTGTTATTAATATTAGTTCATTAGACAATTGAGCATTCAAGCTGTAATATAGGAAATTAACAGTGCCATGTAGATTTATTTTAATGCTGGAAATCAGAACAATTTTTGTGCATATTTGTTAAAGGCACCTTTTTTATTTGTGTTTTTTTTTCTTTCATAGGTAGAGACTTTATGCTTTATGCTTAAGCAGGTCTTTTGCATAGCTCTTAAATTGTTATTATCCTTTTAATTATTATTTTTAGAATAAGGTACTGTACCTTCATTTTTGTATTATGTGTTTGTTGTTTTAGTTGTTGCTGTTTGTAAGTAGAGTGATGAAACCATTCCAACAAATGATATTGGAGTCAGTCTGATACAAGTCAGATAGTGAATGCAGACATTTAGGTTATTGCGCTGTGGTACAAAGTGGTTTTATACTTTGTTACTGAAACATAGCAAAACATGTCTAATTCTGTTTGGAGTTTTGTTGTCAAGCACAGCAAACGTGTAATAAAGTCACTAAAACAAATTAGGGCTTTTCAAAAGTATTTGACGAGCAGTGAGAAGGCATTATTGTAATACGAAAATATTATAATACAGCTTACTGCATGCTTTAACACTGCACCACTTTGCCACAACCCTACTCATTGCATACAATTGCAGCGTGGCTTCGCTCACTTGAATGGGTCATGTTTGTCAGCGACACTACTTGTCGATTGTGACAGAGAGGATATACAAAGCAGTTCAACTGCGGCATGTGTACAACTCTGCCTGGCTGCATTTGCAGCTTAAAGAGGAGCTTCAATCCCCCTCTCAAAAATGTAAGTATTTTGTATGACCTCCATAATTTGCAAGGACAGCACCAATTCTTCTAGTCATGCAATGAACAAGTTGGCGACATATTGCAACATCGATCTTTTTCCATTCTTCAAGAACGACCTCTTTTAGAGCCTGGATGCTAGATGGAGAGTGATGCTCAACTTGTCTCTTCAGAATTCCCCATAGGTGTTCGATTGGTTGAGATCAGGAGACATACTTGGCCACTGAATCACTTTCACCCTGTTCTTTAGAAATGCAAAAGTGGCCTTAGATGTGTGTTTTGGATCATTGTCATGTTGGAAAAGTGCGTGATGACCAAGGGTACGGAATGATGGTAGCCTCTTCTCTTTCAATATAGAGCTCATGCAGCCCCACAGAAGGATACTGCCACCACCATGTTTTACTGTAGGCACCATGCATTTTTCTTTGTACTCCTCACCTTTGTGACGCCATACAGTTTCAAAGCCATCAGTTCCAAAAACATTTATCTTGGTCTCATCACTCCAGAGTACAGAGTCCCAGTAGTCTTCTTCTTTTTCAGCATGGACCCTGGCAAATTCTAGGTGGGCTTTTTTGTGCATGGACTTTAGGAGAGGCTTCCTTTGTGGACAACATCCATGCATGCCATTCCTCTGCAGTGTATGCCATATTGTGTCACGGGAAACAATCACTCCAGTTTGGATTTCTACTCCTTTAGTTAACTGCAGTGAACTTGCATGGTGATTTTCTTCAGCCCTTCTCATCATAAGACACTCCTGTCAAGTTGTTAACATCCATGAATAGCCTGGACGTCTCTGTGAGATGGTTGCAGTTCCATCTTTCTTAAAATTTTCTATCATTTTGCTACAGTATTCTGATTGATAAGTAAAGCTTTGCTGATCTTCTTGTAGCCTTCACCTTTCT